AACCCCTCTCTCTCAGTGCAGTGTTAATGTACTGGAGTGTCCAGTCAGTGTGTCTGTATTAACCCCTCTCTCTCAGTGCAGTGTTCATGTACTGGAGTGTCCAGTTAGTGTATTAACCCCTCTCTCTCTCAGGCTCAGTGGACAGTAACTGGATTGTCGGGGCCACCCTGGAGAAGAAGCTGGTGCCCCTGCCCCTCTCTCTGGCCATGGGCGCCTTCCTCAACCACCAGAAGAACAAGTTCCAGTGTGGATTCGGGATCACCATCGGCTAGACGGACAGAGACCGAGTGGCTGACCTGTGGACACAAAACACATCGACATGCCAAGGCCGACAGAGACGCGTGCAGAGAGACAGGGGGCATACAGACCACAGGCAGTCCCTGAGACAGTCAGACAGACGGTCAGAGATGGACAGAACCACCGACATACAGACAGACCTTCTCACAGAGACTGAACTAGAAGCAGATGGCTGGACACTGTCAGAGAGACACACAGAGGGACAGACAGTCACAGAGCTACAGACACTGTCAGAGAGACACACAGACACAGAGCTACAGACAGTCTGAGAGACAGACACGGAGCTCCAGACACTGTCAGAGAGACAGACCTACAGACACTGTCAAGAGAGACACACAGACCTACAGACACTGTCAGAGAGACACACAGACACACAGAGCTACAGACAGTCAGAGAGACAGACACAGAGCTCCAGACACTGTCAGAGAGACACACAGACACACAGAGCTACAGACAGTCAGAGAGACAGACACAGAGCTCCAGACACTGTCGGAGAGACACACAGAGGGATAGACAGTCACAGAGCTCCAGACACTGTCAGAGAGACACATAGAGCTACAGACACTGTCAGAGACACACACAGACACACAGAGCTACAGACACTGTCAGACAGACACAGAGCTCCAGACAGACAGAGGGACAGACACAGACAGACAGAACTACAGAAAGTCTGAGACGGCTCAGGAGAGCACAGAGTGAGGGGGAGAGGAGACATGATTGTTTTTTTTCTGTTTCTTGTTTTGATTTTTTTACTTGTTTTTGTACTGTACAAGAGGACTGTCTGGGGGCTCCAGCCGAGGGGCGCTGCGAGGGGGTGGGGGCTGTCGCTGCTGATCGGGGAAGGGGGGTTGAATAATGTTCAGTTTTGAGTCCCTCCCTTTTAATTTAATCCTTTTCCTCTCCCTGTTTCTCTCAGTGGTACATATATATAAATATTCCCTGTACATATCTATTAAAAAAGATCAAGGCCATTTCTTACAAACCTGCGATGGATTGTTGTCTGCTTCTAACACTGTGTGCCTGTGTCCTTGTGTGTCTGCATGATTGTGTGTGCAGGGGTGAAGTGTGTGTGAGCGTGTCTGAAACTGCAGTACTGTCTGTCTCCACCAGAGGGCACATCTTGACGGACTGCCAGTGGCCACAAGAGGGCAGTCTGAGCACACCACAGGCCATAAGACAGAGTGACACGGGCAGAGAGACCGATAGAGACAGATAGGAACAGAGACACTGGCAGCCAGAGAGAGCCTGAGCACTAGTGTGCCTTCGGTGACGATTATTAGTAATTCAAGTGTGTAGCTGCATCAGCATGCATAGTCCGGGAAGGAACGATAGCAGGAATTAACCTGAGAAGAGGAGAGAAAACAATGTTTCGGCTGTGAAGCCTTCTTCAGGTGTCAAGTTGAAAACATTGTGTTTTCTCTCTTCTCTTTTCAGTATGGGATAAACCTGTTACTTGTTTCTTTGCATGATTATTAGTAAGTTGTCTGTTGGACAATACTTGTCCTCTGCTCAGCTCTGTGTGTGTGTGTGGACTCTGCCCCTGATACACACGTCTCCACGCTGGAAGACAGCAGGGCATGAAGCACACGCACGGGGAGATAAGCTGGCTGGCTGCCCTGGACACAGCCTTGACAGACACTGACTCGTCATGCACTGAAAACACACACAGCCCTTAGAGAGAGAGAGAGACGCCCGTCTCATCGAGGAGCAGGGTTCATGCGTCTGGGAAGAAGCTGTAGTGCTGCTGGTTAGGACAGGAGCAGGATGAGATGCAGCACACGCAGTACTGTAGCAGTGGCAGGATTAGAGTACAACAGTCACATCGGTTACAGCAGTGAGTAGCAGTATTAGAGTATAATAGTTACAGCAGTGAGTATCAAACCAGTGACAATAGCAGTATTGGAGTATTAATAGTTACAGCAGTAAGTATCAAAGCAGTGACAATAGCAGTATTGGAGTATTAATAGTTACAGCAGTGAGTATCAAAGCAGTGCCAGTAACAGTATTGGGGTATAATCGTTACAGCAGTGACAGCAGCAGTATTAGAGTACAAACAGGTACAGCAGAGAGAGTATTAGAATATAACAGTTACAGCAGTGACAGTAGCAGTATTAGAATATAACTAACAGCAGTGACAGTATTAGTTACAGCAGTGACAGTAGAAGTATTAGAGTATAACAGTTACAGCAGAGAGAGTATTAGTTACAGCAGTGACAGCAGCAGCATTAGAGTATAACAGTTACAGCAGTGAGAGTATTAGTATTAGATTATAACAGTAACAGCAGTGAGAGTATTAGAGTACAACAGTTACAGCAGCAAGAGTAGTATTGGATACAGCAGTAGCAGTATTAGAGTACATGTTACAGCAGTGAGAGTATCAGTTACAGTAGTGGCAGCAGTATTAGAGTATAACAGCTACAGCAGTGAGAGTATTAGAGTATAACAGTTACAACAGTGACAGTATATTAGAATATAAGTTACAGCAGTGAGTATTAGTTACAGCAGCAGCAGCAGCATTAGATGCTAACAGTTACAGCAGTGAGAGTATTAGTATTAGAGTATAACAGGTACAGCAGTGACAGTATTAGTTACAGCAGTGACAGTAGAAGTATTAGAGTATAACAGTTACAGCAGTTAGAGTATTAGAGTACAACAGTTACAGCAGCAAGAGTAGTATTGGATACAGCAGTAGCAGTATTAGAGTACATGTTACAGCAGTGAGAGTATCAGTTACAGTAGTGGCAGCAGTATTAGAGTATAACAGCTACAGCAGTGAGAGTATTAGAGTATAACAGTTACAGCAGTGACAGTATTATTTACAGCAGTGACAGTATAAGTATTAGAATATAACAGTTACAGCAGTGAGTATTAGTTACAGCAGCAGCAGCAGCATTAGAGGCTAACAGTTACAGCAGTGAGAGTATTAGTATTAGAGTATAACAGGTACAGCAGTGGGAGTATTAGTTACATCAGTAACAGCAGCAGTATTAGTATATAACAGTTACAGCAGTAAGTGTTAGTTACAGCAGTGACAGTAGCAGTATTAGAATATAACAGTTACTGCAGCAGCAGCAGTAGATGCTAACAGTTACAGCAGTGAGAGTGTTAGTATTAGATTATAACAGTTACAGCAGTGAGTTAGTAACAGCAGGAGTATTAGAGTATAACAGTTACAGCAGTGAGAGTATTAGTTACAGCAGTATTAGAGTAAAACAGTTACAGCAGTGAGAGTAGCAGTGACAGTATCAGTAGCAGTGAGAGTATTAATTAGAGCTGTGAAAGTGATAGACATATCAGTTACAGCAGTAACAGGAAAAATAATTTTCCTAATCTTATTAAATGGGACAGCAGTTGGAAACGAGCTCTGTGGTGATGTGGGAGAGAGGTGTGTTATGGTAGAAAGTGGTTGGAGGTTGTGAGGTTTCTCAGTCACTGTGAACACACTGCTCTCTGACCTGGATGGTTTGTGTATCAGAGACAGACTTTCCTGCTATGCTGGCTGGGTCACTGGGTTCTGTTATAAATAATAAAGAACCTGTGCTGTCAGCACGCCATCATCATCATCATCATCATCATCATCAGAGCTGTAGTGTAACTGTAAAGACACTCAGTCCAGCTCATCTGTATCTTCACACTAACACTCCTTCATCATCATCAGAGCTGTAGAGACACTCAGTCCAGCTCATCTGTATCTTCACACTAACACTCCTTCATCATCATCAGAGCTGTAGAGTCACTGTAGAGACACTCAGTCCAGCTCATCTGTATCTTCACACTAACACTCCTTCATCATCATCAGAGCTGTAGAATAACAGTAAAGACACTGCGGCCAGCTTATCTGTGACTGAATCAGCTCCTCTTTGATCTTGTAGTGGTGATGCAGGAGGTCTGATGTGGGAGCTGTGAGGTGTGATCTTTGAGCTGGGAAGGGTGTGGCGGTGCTCGCTCGTGGTGACAGGTGAGCTGACAGCAGGGCACTCGCTCCTGGACTTTGTGTCCCGATCAGCCGAGCCCTGTACATAAAGAGAGGCCGGCCAGAGCAGAGAGCAGGAGCACCGGAGCACAGGGCAAGAACCAGACTGATCTGCTGCTGGTTGTTGTGTCTGCAGGACCTTTCTGAAGCCCAGTCATGAAGTTTGTGGTCCTAGTGTTGGCTGTCTTCACAGGTGAGCTCTTTTAATTCTCTGCATGAATAGCGTGGTGGGCACTGCCGCCTCGCCATCTGCGCAGATGTGAGTACGAGGGTACAAGCCTGTTCTCCAGGGAGCGAGTGTGGGTGCCTGTCTGTGCGACAGGTAAGGCATATGGCTTCTGGGAAAATTGGCTCTGGCGTGAGTGTGTGTCTGTGTGTGTGTGTGTGCGCCCTGTGGTGGACTGGTGTCCCGTCCAGGGTGCACCCTGCCACGTGCCCGTTGCTTCCTGGGATAGGATCCGGCTCGGCCACAGCTCTGCACTGGACAAAGTGGTTAGGAAACAGATGGATGGGCAAGTAGACCTGTGTAAAACACTGACACAGAGAGGCGACTTTGTACTCGCTACCCGCTTGTGGGTTTCCAAATGAGAATAAGAGCACTAGATTCCTGACATGGGCATCTGCACCAGGCCCTGAGGTGTCTGTGCCTCCTCTGCTCTGGGCTTGGTGTTGTGTCCAGCTATCTTGGTGTGTCATGTCCAGTGGGTTGTGACATTGTTATCACACTTACAGAAAAGCGACAGGAGTGATATGGAAGCGCACGGTACCACGGTTACTGACCTTCCGTTGTTGTGTCACCCCCTAAAGGTTGCCATGCCAACATCCTCTGGCAGGAGCAGCCCAAGACACAGATGGAGCAGGTGAAAGAGGCATTTTGGGACTATGCTGCCAAGGCGACGCACACGGCCGAGGACACACTCCAGATGATCAGACAGTCGGAGCTGGGACAGGAAATCAAGTATGTCAACACACACACACAAAGCACAGACACTGAAGCAGTCCAGTCAGTGTGTCTGTAT